TTAGACACCCAGTTTATAATCTCAGGGAATTAACTGGGTGTCTAATCTTTTAATTCCTGCACTTATGAACGCACATGGCGACAGCACTCTTGTAAGGCTCCTGATAAAAACTGCATGTATCTCAGGAAAATCATGTCATTAACGTGAAGTATCATCCGGATTAATATAGCTTATACGTGAGTGTTAATGTCTGTCTAGGATTTTAACTGCGGTATTATGATCAAAGAGTAAATGAACTGTAGCCAAAATTGGTGTGTGTGTGTGTGTGTGTGTCATAACTTAACCTCAGAAAGGGTAGATGATCAGCATTTTGTGGCGTCAGCATTCAGAATTATGGCCTCTTGGACTAGGCTGTGTTCTGACGCGGATGGGGGGGTCATTTGCATATCTTCAGTGTGAACCTATGCAGTATGTCAATAAAACTATAACTTATGGCCGTTCACGAACATTACTAGCTGCTGTCATAGATTTATAATAAAAAAAAGACTCATAAATATAAACTGGTTATATTTCCTCTCAATTTAATAGCCCTAATTTTTTTTTATCTAAATGGTCAATCTTCTCAGGCTTGGGGAGGCAGTAGGCAGGGATCATGAAAAGAACACTGTGGAGAAGAGAGCTTGATGTACTGTAAGTGTGGGTCATTATTTTAACTTTAACCCACACATTCTATATTTAATTTGTGCCACAGTTTCTTATCACCAGTAAACAAACAAGGAAACACATTTAAGCCACACAGTTAGTATTTATTTTCTGCGGTGTTGTCAGGAGTCTAAATAAAAAGCAGTTCATTTTATCGGTTAGCAACAAAAGCGTTTAATAATCCTTAACGAAAAACCACAGTGGATAAATCGGAATTTCTGTATAGGATTTTAGAATTATTATATATTAATATTTCACCAGAAATAATGAAAGATTACTAAAGAGAAATAAAAAAAATAGAGAGTTAATCCCCCCTTGCCGTCCATAAATCAATCGGTCATAACACAGATACCTCAAGATACATCAACAAACCTTTGTGCCGCTCGCTCACAAGTGCCTGTATTTTCTCACCATATTTTGATGAGCAAACTTCGAGGCAATGGATAATAATAAATAAATAAAAATCAGTAGGACAATATAAATTATCTCATATATTTATTAAGTAGTTTGTGATGACGATAAAATGTCGAAAATTTCAAGAAAAAATGTTGGGTGAGTGACGGACCGTTGGGAGGCGTGAACGAGCGGCGCCTCCCCCAGTGTAAACAAAGCCAAGTGGCCACGTGACTCCACTGACCTTCTCCTCCACTGCCTCCGCTAAACCTCCTCCTTCTCTCTAATCCAGCCCATACGTCGACCTCTTCAAGTCAAGTGGCACTTTATTATATACCCAATCCAATGGTTGTGTTCTCTATTAGTGTCTAGTTTAACGTAGATATTTCAAAAGATCTGCTTTACTTCCGTGACAACAAAATGCCACAGGTTTGTGTTGTGTATTACTATATTACTTTGGGAGTATTTTATTCTAGTACTTTAATAAGGTAAATCACAGGGTATTAATTATCGCTATAAATCCAATTAAAAATAAATAAAAAGGTAAATTTTTCTTGTAGCACCGTTCACTTGTAGCAAGTTAAAAATATATTTTTCTAGTGTATTTGTGTGTGGTGAGACCGAATATGACCCTCCTTTTTGGCGGCAATTAGCCGGGTTTTTTTGCGATTTTTTTCGTTTGATGTTTTCCGAGAAAAAAAAGTGCCGAAGCGACTAACAAATACACAATAAAACACTAGAAAAACAATAACCAAACCTAATCTAACCTGACCTAACTTAACTGACTCTCACCATATGATGTAATCGCCTATTTCTTACCTTATTGGCCTGGTTCTTGTTCGTCGTTGGATTCTGGGATTCTTACCCAACACCACATAAGTTGGTCTTTGCGATATTTACATTCAGTCTTGCTCTTAGTACACTTTACTGAGGTTGGAAGAACACCATGCGATCGAAAAAATGCTATAGTTTCTTCGTTTTTTTTCTTCAAAAACTCGCAATCAGCTCCATATACTTTAAGTGACATCCATCACAGACTTCCACGGTCGGAACTGAACTTGAATTTCAAAATATGAGACCAAAAAGAATACTCGAATTTGATTGGGCCAAAAATACCGCGAATTAAACCCCAAAACATTTTAATTGGTTACAAAATAAAAAAGGTTTTTGATTGGCCGCGTGACGTGTACAGCAACGCATGCGCGGGATGATTTATGAAGGGGACGCAGGAGACATACAGTGTTGGAGGAGAGGCAGACGATAATGGCGGGATGGTAATGGAAGAAAGTAGAAAATATTTTGGAAGAGCTATCTCTGTTATGATACATTTCCGCCGGTAATGTAATAGATGAAAATTATCTTATAATTAGACGTCTTATTCGAATATGATAATAGAATAGTGGTAGGAATGAACGGAGCTACAAGAAAATAATACCAATAAAAATGCCATCTTGTTATTAATTTTTGTGTTAAATTGAGGCCTGAGTACACACTGTTATGACCTAAAAATGCAGTTGGCTAAAATATGTTAAAATTGACCGAAATACTGTACCGTTGTCGGGAAAACATACCAAGCTGAACTAAACTTAACACTACGTCACCTATCTTCTTTCTTATACGTCGAAACAACAGCAATATTTACCTTTAGTTGTTATATGTTAGGAAATTAAGATCACTTGAACATTGAACACCCTGACGCTACCTTCCGGGAGTGTTAGGTTAGATTGAGTTACCGGTTAGTTAGGTTAGGTTAGGTTACCGGTATGTCACGTTATATTACCGGTATGTTAGATTAGGTTCGATCGAGTTATGTTAAATTTGATTTGATTAGGTTAGCTTAGATTAAATTAACTTGAGTGTCTAATCTTCAGGTCAACCGGAAATAACACTATCATTAAATGTACAAATAAGTTATTGTTGTAATTAATAACACAGGAAACCTTCGTCTTGTCCAACATATTATCTAGAAAAACAGGAAGTGAAAATTAATACGATATTTTTTTTCTTTTTTCTTTTTCTTCTGGAGTATCGAGTGATTTATTTTTCCCCAGGCAGTGATGACTAAAAAATATAATTAATTCTCAAGAAGCGGCAAAGAAATATATATATATGTAATTCCCAAAAAGAAGGATATTTAATTGTATGTTTACCTCTATCTCTCGTTGTTTGTGTGTTTATCTCTCTATCTCTATCGTTGTTTGTGTGTTTATCTCTTTATCTCTCGTTGTTTGTGTGTTTATCTCTTTATGTCTCTCTCGGTATCTCATTATCGTGTGTACTATATACCTCTGCTCTCCTATATAATTCTCTGACTGTCTCTCTATCTCTTTTGCTTTCTCTCTCTCTCACTTCTAAGATCTGATAGCAATTCCGTGTTAATGCTATACTCTCCTAACCTCTCTATAACACCTACTGGATGTTATATATTATAGGCCTCATAGTGTTATACTGTATAGGAAGTATAATTTACAGTATATCAACCAGTTATAAATTATATACAGGTTATAATTTGTTGCTATAATTATAATGTACTGTATCGTCTATAACACCCAGTTGTGGGGTATAATGAAAGTGTTGTATGTATTATTTGCCTATAATTTCCTGACGGTGTTATAACAATGTCTCCTTATATATAATCTCTAACCTAACCTAGCCTATAATCTCCTGGAGGTGTAGTAACGTGGTGTGTTCTCCTCCTGCAGGGTACTGGTAGGGGCGCCAGAAGCTCAGACACTACAGCCAGAGATAGAGCGTGGAGGAGCTGTGTACAAGTGTCGCCCAGCCGTCCCGGGCAACTGTGAGCCTATTGTTTTCGACAGCACCGGTCAGTATTGCCCCCTATTGCCCCTTCAGTAGTAGTAGTAGTAATAGTTTTCTTCTTGCCACTTCAGTACCTCCTTTCACCCCCTTTCTTTTATGTTATTATTAATATTAATATTATTATTATTATTATTATGTTTTATGAGCTGTAGGTTCCTTATATATATATATATATATATATATATATATATATATATATATATATATATATATATATATATATATATATATATATATATATATATATGCAAGTAAATCACTGTAGGTGCGCGTGATCTAGGTATATGCTGATAACCACAAGGAAAGAAGAAAACACGAAGTTCCCAAGCGCTTTCGTGTAATTCACATCTTCAGGGGTGAGTACAGACTAGAGAGAGTAATACAAATCAAGGTGTATATATACAGAGGAGGGTGAGACCAGGTCCACAATGGTCAGGTATTAGGTAATGACCCTACTAATCTTTAAATAGCACACAACGGTTGGTGGTCAGGTCAGATGGTCAAGTGACCCGGCCTTCTCACCTGATCACAAATCTTCTTAATTACAAAATTGTCCAGCTTGTACATGCCGTTACTCAAATTCATGTTGAATGCTTCGGTATGTTTAATAAGACTAGATTCTATGATGTTCCTACTGTCAATTGACTTACATGGTAATATTGAGGAGGCATTATCCCAGTCAATGCAATGCTTGTTATCCCTCAAATGAACAAACAGAGCATTGGATTCCTGGCCTGTCCTAACACTGTATTTGTGTTGTTTAATTCTAGTTGCAAGATCTTTACCTGTCTGGCCTAAGTAAAACATATTACATTCCTTGCAAGGAACTTTATAAATGCAACCAATTGTGTTGTTGGGGGAGTTCTTGATTAACATTTGTTTAACAGTGCATGAGTTTTTAAATGCCACATTGACGTTCCAGGTTTTTAGCTGTGCAGGAATGTGTGAGAAATTTTTGTGAAATGGTAATATTAAGATATTCTTATGGTCATGGGTGGGCTTGGGATCAGTTCTATAAAAAGTTTTCTTAGTAATGTTTAAGCATTTGTCTATGAAAGATCTAGGGTATTTAAGGTTTGAGCCAATATTATATATATATTTGTATTCCTCATCGATGAATTCCGGACTGCAAATTCTCAAGGCACGTAAAAACATTGTTGAAAATACTGACTGTTTGACTTTATTATGGACCATTGTGGACCTGGTCTCACCCTCCTCTGTATATATACACCTTGATTTGTATTACTCTCTCTAGTCTGTACTCACCCCTGAAGATGTGAATTACACGAAAGCGCTTGGGAACTTCGTGTTTTCTTCTTTCCTTGTGGTTATCAGCATATATATATATATATATATATCATAAAACTAACAACCATACTTAACCTGCCCTAACCCAACCCAAGTTAACTTAACCTGACTTAACCTAACCTAAGCATAGAGCATTGATGACTCCTCTACAGCGCTGACGGCTCCTTCTCATATATATAAAACAGCAGGTTATAGTAAACACAACCAAAAATATATCTTTACGATTTGGTGTGAGACAATATGACACAACGGATGAAGGATTTTGACAACCCTACTGAGACAACAGGAGTCACAGTGTTCATTATGAAATTCACCGACCATCTCCGAGTAGAGATAATTTTTTTAGAGTGACTGGGCAAAGTGTACATTCTCACCCAAGTCTTCTCGGACGCTATAAGCACTATGCAATCTGAAAAAATGAGATGACAAGACTAAATTAGATAGGGAGTTTAAACCTAAACGTGGTAAAGGGAGGACTCAGAACACGACTAACTTAAATGTCTACTACGCGAACAGTAGAAGTATGAGAAACAAAATGGATGATATTAGGGCCTTGGTATGTACCGAAAAAATTGATATAATAGCATTCACTGAAACATGTATCAACCTAGACTCACGTGAGTTACCAGTCGAATACCAAATTGTGGGTTACAAATTGTTCCATACCGATAGGCAGACCAGGAAGGGAGGCGGAGTAGCAATCTATGTCAGGGATAATCTGAAGTGTGAAATAAATAAGGAAATAACAACTGAGCGGAATACAGAAACAATTTGGATAGAATTAATCGACGGTAGGGAAAAATTAATCACAGGAGTAATATATAGACCTCCTTATCTTGATAGAATAAATGAGCGACTTATCTGGGATGAAATGCGCAGGGCTTCCATACACAACAAAGTCTGTATAGTAGGCGACTTTAACCTTGGCCAACTTGATTGGACTGACCTTACGGGCAACTCAGAATCAGAGGATTTTCTCGAAACGATCCAGGACTGATTCCTAAGTCAACATATAACCGAACCCACCCGGGGTAATAATATGCTCGATTTAGTTCTGTCGAACAGAGAAAACCTCATTAGCAATGTCGAGGTAGGGAACGAGCTTGCAAACAGCGATCATAAAAGAAATTAGATTCCAGTTAGATTTTCAGGGCAGACGTAAGGAAAATTCCACTAAAGTCCCAGATTTCAGAAGGGCAAGCTTTGACAGTTTAAAGAGGCAGCTGAGGGAGGGGGTGTTGCGCTTGGGGGTGAGCTACATGACCTCACATGAGGTGACCTCACTCAATGCATCCACAGAGGGCGACCTCACCGTACCAGGAGACCTGACTGTTGAGACTGACCTGATAACGAGATCTGAGATTGCCGAGTTCCACGACAATTTAAATAATGAGTTACTTAATGCACAAAGGCAGAACCTACCATACAAAAAACTCAGATCACACAACAATGACCCTAAATGGATTAATAATTATTTAAAGAACATCATTGGCCAAAGGAAGGCTATAGGTAGAAGGATAAATCGTGGCGATATTTACCTCCGGGATTATTATAAGATATTGGCGAGTAGGGTTAAAACCGAGATAAGGAAAGCTAAGAGGAATAATGAGGTAAGGATAGCAAGGGAGGCGAAGACAAACCCCAAAGGATTCTACCAAATGTATCAAACTAAAACACGAGAAAAGATTGGACCAATACGGTCAGATACCGGCGAGCTCACTGATAACGATGGAGAAATGAGCAGTAATCTGAATAAATATTTTTCAACAGTTTTCACCACCGAAAATTTAAACATGATACCCGAGGCACCAACTCTATTCAGAGATAGTGAAAAAAACAAATTAAGCGAGATAGAAGTGACTAGTAACGATGTTAGTAAGCAAATAGACAAACTAAAGCCTAATAAGTCACCTGGTCCCGATGAGATATTTGCCAGAGTATTAAAGGAATGTAAGGAAGAGCTTAGTATGCCCTTAGCAAAGTTGTTTAACATGTCCTTAAAAACAGGTGTAGTACCAGAATCCTGGAGGATATCGAATGTAATACCGATTTTCAAGAAGAGGGATAGATCACTATCCTCGAACTACCGTCCAATCAGTCTAACATCAATTGTAGGCAAATTACTGGAAGCAATCATTTCGAACTCTATTCGAAACCACCTGGAGAAGCACAAATTGATCAATGATTCCCAGCATGGCTTCACAAGCGGGCGTTCATGTCTAACTAATCTATTAACATTCTGTTCATCAGTTTTCGAATCGGTGGACGAGGGGCACAATTATGATGTGGTATATCTCGACTTTAGCAAAGCCTTCGACAGAGTCTCCCACGAAAGATTTAATAAGAAAGGTAGAAGCACATGGCATTAAAGGTAATATTCTAAAATGGATTAGGGCGTGGTTACAGGACAGGAAACAGCGAGTGAGCATTAACGGCACTAAATCCCATTGGAGCAACGTCACTAGTGGAGTTCCCCAAGGCTCAGTACTTGGACCATTATTATTTATTATATACATAAACGACATAGATATCTGCATAGACAGCAACATAAGTAAATTTGCTGATGACACTAAAATAGGACTTGTAATTAAATCTGACGAGGACTCCGCAAAACTACAGGAAGATGTAAACAAATTTTTCGAATGCTCTGAAAAATGGCAGATGAAATTCAATGTGGACAAATGTAAAGTACTCAGTATAGGAGATGTAAACAGGGAAACCAGTTACCAGATAAACAACGATGTTATTGAGAAATCCGACTGAGAGAGAAATTTAGGAGTAATGATAAGTAGGAACCTTAAGCCAAGTAAACAATGTGTTTTTGCTAGTAACAAGGCTAATAAAGTACTTGGGTTCATACAAAGGAGTGTTAGTTACAAGACTAGCGAGGTCATCTTAAGATTATATCTTGCGCTTGTGAGACCTCACCTGGATTACGCAGTTCAGTTCTGGTCACCGTATTACAGAATGGATATGGAATCCTTGGAAAGAATCCAGAGGAGAATGACAAGACTAATCCCAGGCATTAGGAACCTTGAATACAGAGACAGGTTAAAGCATCTTAATTTGCACTCACTCGAGAGACGTAGAGCGAGGGGCGACCTGATAGAGGTGTATAAGTGGAAGTCAGGGCTAAACAAGGGGGACATTACAAAGGTACTCAAACTATCCAACAAGGAGCGAACTCGTAACAATGGTTTTAAATTAGACAAATTTAGATTTAGGCGCGAAATAGGTAAACACTGGTTTGGAAACAGAGTAGTGGATGAATGGAACAAGTTACCAAATATCATCATTAACTCGAATACGCTGGATAGCTTCAAACATAGGTTGGATGCTTATATGAACAATAGGGGTTGGGTGTAAACGGGACTGTCCAGTATGGGCCAATAGGCCCGCTGCAGTTTCCACCATTCTTATGTTCTTATGTAAGCCACACTCTGCTCATTCTCACATCCATCGTGTCCAGGTGTTGGAGAGGTTTTAACCGAGTGTTTACATTCATTTGCATAATTATAGGTTCAGGAGGTTTACAAGGTCTTCATTCCATAAAGGGCCCCAGAACACCTTCAAGCACACCACCTTCAGGAGGAACACAACACTTACGTTTATGAGTTTTTAGACCTGAAATTCGCCAATAGCGTTAGTCTTCTCAGTGTAAGTTATTGGTCACGTTCACTGCTACATGATACGCCTGTTGATACCCACAAGAGGAGGGCGGCTGTAGTGACCTTTACGTGGGTAGATTGTGTTATCCCTGTGGCCGGTGTTTGTCAGAGAACATTGTTATTAGTTGGAGTACTGTTGGGATCACATGAAGATTAGGCCCCCCCTGCTTATTTCAATTTCAGATTAGTTAACCTAACCTAACCTAATCTAGGGAGGGTAAGTTCCTTGTGTTCTTGAAGGTGAGGAGTGGGAGAAGGTGATTATGTAGCGCCCTGTGTGAGGTGCTGCTTGGCCTCTCTCTCTTTCTCACTACTCCTCATATCTGCCTACAGGTAACCACTGGGAGTCCGGCCGTCAGGTAGACAACAAGAGTCAACAATGGTTCGGCGCCTCTGTTACCAGCAAGAGCGGCGTTATAGTGGTGAGTAAACCAATGATGTACTGTACAGTTAGGTTAAATTATTGGGGGGGAAATAACAGCAGAAGGTTGGAAATAATGACCAGAGATGAACTATAGTATTTCCACGCTAACCTGGCCCTTAAGCCACGCCCCTCGTCTGTACAAATAGCTGATTGGTTCATAGAAAATGTGTTCACAATTGATAAGCAACATTGTTATTCTCTTAAAGTAATGTTAAATATCTTGACTATCAAAAGTCAAATAATTTCAAGGCAATAACACTTCAGAGAGGATGTTAGTAAAGTTTAACCATTAATCATACCAAACACATTATACAATAGGTGACAAGACTAAAATAATAATAATATGTTACGAAGTGTTGAGAAGCGGTGTTCAGGTCACACATTTTCTTCCTCTGTCATCAAGTATCAAGAAATTAGATGCAAATAAAAGGAAAATCTCTAACGTGTGTGTGTGTGACTTACCGGGATCTATTGTGGTATATCGGTATGTATCGTGATTTATTGGAATATAGTGTGATTTATCGGCATGTATCGTGATTTATCGGCGTGTATCGTGATTTATTGGAATATAGCGTGATTTATCGGCATGTATCGTGATTTATCGGCGTGTATCGTGATTGATTGGAATATATCGTGATTTATCGGCGTGTATCATATAGTCCGTTAGATGGAGGTTTCACATCTAACGGACCCTCCATATAACGGACTTTCCTCTCAATACAACCCGTTATACAGAGATTTCAGTGTAAGTCGTGACATTATGACAAAATAAACTATAACAATTAGCGTTCACTGTTAATATAAATCATTGAATAGAGTTATCAAAGGTTAACATTAGGCTAAAGTTAACAAATATAATCTGTTTTAAGTAAATGTTAATAAGTTTACCACAAGCTACTTAACAAAATAAATCAGGCGTAGCTTATATATGTGTAAGCTACTTAAATATACTTATAATGCATAAAGTGGAAATTACTTAAACACACTTACAATGCATAAAGTGAGGGGGGTAGTGACGTCGAGTGTTAAATTACCTACTTGACTCACTTATAATGGTGGGTATTGTCTACTTATAATGGTAGGTCTTGTCTCCTCCTCACTGTGGTATGCAGAAGTAAACAATGGGTAGAAGTGTGGTGGTGATGGCAGCTGTGTAAATAATAGAGAGAGAGAGAGAAAGAAAATAAAGATAGTGAGACAGATAGAGAGAAAGACAGACAGACAGACATAGAAAGAGCGTTGATATATACATTCGTCAATATCTGCTAAAAGAATAAGTCAGTCACTGGTAAAACAATTAAAACGTATACAAAATAAACACTCTCAGAACACTGAGGCCGCAGAACTAATTGTATACAACCTTAAAAGTATAGACGCCATGAAGAGCGATGTTCGGTTGTTTAAAGTATAGACGCCATGAAGAGCGATGTTCTGTTGTTTATAGTATAGACGCCATGAAGAGCGATGTTCAGTTGTTTAAAGTATAGACGCCATGAAGAGCGATGTTCAGTTGTTTAAAGTATAGACGCCATGAAGAGCGAGGTTCAGTTGTTTAAAGTATAGACGCCATGAAGAGCGATGTTCAGTTGTTTAAAGTATAGACGCCATGAAGAGCGATGTTCAGTTGTTTAAAGTATAGACGCCATGAAGAGCGAGGTTCAGTTGTTTAAAGTATAGACGCCATGAAGAGCGATGTTCAGTTGTTTATAGTATAGACGCCATGAAGAGCGATGTTCAGTTGTTAAAAGTATAGACGCCATGAAGAGCGATGTTCAGTTGTTTAAAGTATAGACGCCATGAAGAGCGAAGTTCAGTTGTTTAAAGTATAGACGCCATGAAGAGCGAAGTTCAGTTGTTTAAAGTATAGACGCCATGAAGAGCGAAGTTCAGTTGTTTAAAGTATAGACGCCATGAAGAGCGATGTTCAGTTGTTAAAAGTATAGACGCCATGAAGAGCGAAGTTCAGTTGTTTAAAGTATAGACGCCATGAAGAACGATGTTCAGTTTTTTAAAGTATAGATGCCATGAAGAGCGATGTTCAGTTTCTTAAAGTATAGACCCCATGAAGAGCGATGTTCAGTTTTTTTTAAATATAGACACCATGAAGAACGATGTTCAGTTTCTTAAAGTATAGACACCATGACGGGATATAACGGATTGTGTTGGGGAGGTGACTGGCATCCTCTTGTTGAAATTATATATGGTAAGGCGATGCCAATTGAAATTAATTAAAGGTTGGGATGACGTTTGTGTGTGGCTGGTGGTGGTGACTAGATGGGGGAGAGAGGTGGTGGTGACGAGGGGGTAATAGGAGGTGGTGGTGACGAGGGGGGAAGAGGAGGTGGTGGTGACGAGGGGGAAGAGGAAGTGGTGGGGGAGTAGATTTATAACACGTGGCCTTCTGTGATATAGGACTCTCTCTCTCTCTCTCTCTCTCCCCGTCATCATGTAGCACAGCTCAAATGAGCCAATTAGATAGTTTAACAGTGCAGTTGAGCTCAAATTTATGGTATGAATTTTAATTATTTTTTATTATTTTTTTTGGTGGGGTCACGTCTCCAATTTGATGGGAAATTTTTTAGGGTTGTAGGGTTTTAAGTATGGTGTACGGTTCCCTTAAATGGATCACTTTAAGAATCAGCTTAGCTAGATTAACAAATTTATTGACAAAGCTTGGAGTACAGTTTATATTATCCTACCACTGCCACCACCATCATCACTATCAACAACACCACCATCATCACCAACACCACCATCATCACCAACACCACCACCATCATTATCACTACCACCACCACCACTGCCACCATCACCACTACCACCACTGCCACCATCATCACCAACATCACTACCACCATCACTGCCACCACCACCACCTCAGAAGCATTGTTTGTGTGTTAAATTTTCCTTTAACTTTTAAGATTTAGTCACAAACAGGAGCCATTGTTCAGTGTGTGTGTCTGTGTGTGTGTGTGTGTTAGATTTTTGGATTAACTTAAGTCACTCGCGTGTTCCATCCCTACTGATATATAGATACTGTAGACAGATAGACAGATATATAGACGGTAAGCAGGCTGACAGTGAGGGACAGATGAGGGAGGAAGAAGGAGAGAAGGTCCATGTGTGTCTTGATCTGTTGATAAGAAAATTAGAGGGTGAGATTCTTCCCTCCATAACAGTCACCTCTCTCTCGCCTTCACATTAGCTCTTGTTTTTATCCACTACAATAATTTTTCTTTTTTCTTTTTTGTTTTGTTTCGACTATAATTAATAATTTCCGTTTATTTATTTTTTATTCTGTTTTTGTTTTGATTGTTATTTTTTGTTTTCTTCGTATTTTTTGTTTTTTTTATTTTCGTTGTTTTGATGTGTTTTGTTGAGAGTGTTGTTGCCGCTTGTGTTGCTTTGTATTATTGTTTTTATTTTGTCTTGTTTGTTATTGTTTTGTGTTGTGAAGAGTTATTGTTGTTGTTTTTATTCTCAACTGTTGTCTACTACTTCTACTATTTTTTTTAACGTGGCTCCAGCCTCCCCCAATAGTCACACCTCCACCACCATTTTATTACCTTACTATTAAATATCCTAAAAGTAGCCACCCAAGCTGTGTTAGTTAGACCACAGATCTATGCGACATTCAGTGACTGTTGCCTCAGAGTCAATATCTGCGACCGTTGCCGGCTTTGGGGCCGAAGATCTCGTTCCCCTGAAGTAAAGCAATGCAGACCTAAGCAGAGGACAGTCGACATCTCAACGAGGCTACAACGTGGCTTCTGGGCTGCTGCTTCTGTTCAGATAACACCTCAGCCAGTCTTGCATAGAAAAGTCTTACACTTGGCCCCATCCCGCCAGAGGTTGTGAACACCAGAGGAGTGAAGCTGCCTTGATTCACATTCTGAATTCACTCCCCATACGCCCTGTTCTTGTCGTTCTCGTTCCTCCTGTGTGCAGCATCGAGAGCTAGGTTACAGTGACATGCTGTGGCCATGGGGTCGAATATCCTGACGTCAAAGAAGGCTCGCTATCCTAGTGTTCAGAATCCTCGAGTGTTGCTACTGCTAACAACCTAAACTCCGTGTTCCTCTTTCTCCTGCATCCTCTCTTATTAGTCTTCCCCCTTCCTCCCTCCCCCTCTTACCTCCATTCCTTCCTCCTCCTCCCCCCACCTCCTCTTCCTCCCTCCTCCTTCCTCCCTTCCTTCCCCTCCTCTCCCTCCCTCCTCCTCCACCTCCCTTCCTCCATCCACCTCCTCTTCCTCCTCCACCTCCCCTCCTCCTCCCTCCACTCTCCTCTTCCTTCCTCCACCTACTCACCTCCCTTCCTCCTCCACCCTCCTCTCCTCCTCCTTCCTCCCTTCCCTCCTCCCTCCTCCCCTTCCTCTTTCCTCCCCCCTCCTCCTCCCCTTCCCTCCTCCCCCCCTTCCTCCCTCCTCCTCCCTTCCTCCCTCCACCTCCCCTTCCTCCTCCTCCACCTCCCTTTTCCTCCTCCCCTTCCTCTTCCTCCCTCCACCTCCTCCCTCCTCCTTCCTCCCCACCTCCCTCCTCCCTCCCTCCCCTTCCTCCTCCTCCCCCCTTCCACCTCCCCACCTCCCTTCCTCCTCCCCACCTCCCCTTCCTCCTCCTCCTCCCCTTCCTCCTCCTCCCCTTCCTCCCCTCCTCCCTTCCTCCTCCACCTCCCCCTTCTCCTCCTCCCCTCCCTCCCCCTCCCTTCCTCCCCCTCCCTTCCTCCCCTCCCCTCCCTCCCCTCCCCCCTCCTCCTCCCCTTCCCTCCTCCCCTCCTCCTCCACCCCTCCCTCCTCCTCCACCTCCTTCCCTCCTACTCCCCTTTCCTCCCCCCCCCCTCCCCTCCTCCTCCCTTCCCTCCTCCTCCCTCCCCTTCCTCCTCCCTCTCCTTCCTCCCCTCCACCTCCCACCTCCCTCCTCCTCCCCCCTCCCCCTCTCCCCTTCCTCTCTCCCCTCCTCCTCCCCCCTTCCCTCCCCTCCTCCTCCTCCACCCTCCCTTTCCTCCTCCTCCCCCTTCCCTCCTCCCTCCCTCTTCCTCCTCCTCCCCCCTTCCTCCCTCCACCTCCCTTCCTCCCCTCCCACCTCCCTTCCTCCTCCCACCTCCCTTCCTCCTCCCTCCCCTCCCCTTCCTCCTCCTTTCCTCCTCCCCCCTTCCTCCTCCCCTTCCTCCCTCCCTTCACCTCCTTCCTCCCTCCACTTCCTCCTCCTCCTCCTCCACCCCTCCACCTCCTTCCTCCTCCCCCCCTTCCTCCCACCCCTTCCTCCTCCACCCCCTTCCTCCTCCCCCTTCCTCCTACACCCCCCTTCCTCCTCCCACCCCCCT